ATCCATGCCGGCCCCGGCGCCGCTGGACGGCGCAGACGCGTTTGCAATTTTACTTGCGCCGATGCTTTGCTTTTGCAGTCTGCGCTATTGATGATCCGTCGCCGGCATCGTGATATTCGACATGCAGCCCGGTACTACAGACGCAGGCAACACACGCGCCAATGGGTCAATGGCTGGCTAGCACTATTCACAATGGCCAGGAGTAGGACCCTGAGATGCCTTCCAGTAAGGTGCATCTCGCCTACCATTGGCCGTCGAGCTAATGCCGCACGTATCCGTACCGCACCCAGGCACTCCTCACGCACTCAATAGCCCAGGGCAGCAGATTATGCTTCCTCATCCCATCGTTCCGGCACTGTCAACAAGGTGCGTTGTCGCGCGTCGGATGACGGAAAGGAGCAGCAGGACCACAACCCACAACACACGATCCACGGGCTTGGAGACACAACGGATGGCATCATTCTGCATCGGTTCGCAGCTTCGCATTGCCAACGTGGAGGCCCAGATATCAGACACCATGGCGTAATCAGGCTATTCGCAACGGGCAACAGCATTGCGGTAATGTCCTGCGCATGACGGCTTGATGATGGCTGCTGGAATGCGTTATCAACGGCCCGTGGTCGAGTGGGCTTGGCTCGCCTCCACGTCGTCTTCGATGCGCGGGGGACGGACCTTCAGGGCCTTTTGGCAGACGGAAGACAATAACAAATCTTCGGACGACCCGCGGAGAATAAGAAGCAGACAGATGGACGCAGCAACGGGCAACCCGTCAACAAAAACAACGGCTGCCATGTGTAAACAAAAGGAAATGGTAGCGGTTGGACTCGCTCGGAGACCCTTGATGCTAGTTTGCATGAACAAAATGAGGTGGAAATACACACCAGCCGGACCCGAGGCCGAACGACGAGTCGGGGGAGCGAATTGGCTTTCGCTCATCGCATGGCTGTTGCTCTTATCTCGCCCGGCCTCCCACGTCTTTGGAGTGCCCCGAGATCCCAATGCGCTGGATCCGGATGGGGTTGCGATGATGTGATTGTCTCGTGTGAAGGGAATGCCGCGCCTCCCAAAACATCCGGACTGTTGTTATCGTCCACCTTGTCGACGAATTCCAGAGGCATGGACGAGGCGAAATGAGAGCCAGCGGCGGTCTACGTTTGTAGACGAGACCAACGACAATTTGATATTGCCGGGGGGAGAGACAGTGATGTTTTTTTTTTTCCTTGGTGCTGGTCTGCCTCTTGTCCCCTCGTTGCCGCTCGTCGCTTGTCACACCTTTGGGGCCAAGCGCAAGCCCCATCCGCAAGCCAGGGTCGCTGGTCGGTCGACCCCTGGTCGCACCCCCCCCAGAGGCCCCAAGTGAGCTCCGAAGTCTCGGCGACAAACGGGCGAGGACTTGTACCAGAGACAAGCCTGGCGACTTCGCACCCTTCGACTGTAAGTCAGTCTAGAGTGTAAACGATAGCGTGCAGCGAACAATCGTGTGTCTTCGCAGGCGTTCCATTCCTCCAAATGGCGCCGCCCGTGTCATCTGACGACCGACCGCGCCCGCACCGCACACCTCTTCCTGTCGTCGTCCGGCCACCGGGCGAAGGATGGCTAGAGGCGCAACACGATGGCTGTTTTGACTGTTTTCATGCGTGCTGCCACGGAGAATTAGAAGCGAAGAGACGAACCACAAAAAAAAAAAAAAAAAAAAAAGCACAGGAGGCCGGTAGAGGCTCGTCGACGATCCGGCCGTGCGCCGGAGCCGTTGACGGATTGGACGCTTATGTAGCTCTCTGTCTGGAGCCCGTCATATCGATTATCTGCAATACGATAACGCGTCGTCAAACACACGTGCATCTCATCTTAGGTCTCTGGGTGTTTTCGGACATGTTATGTGGGAAATAGGGGAGAAAGAGGAGCCGGCAGACGGGGGGCGGCTTCGGGGCGTGGAGATGGTGCGGCATCATGACCGAGTCGAGACAGTGGACGACGAGTTGACTCGAGTCGTCGGCACTGGGCCTACACGAGGACGGGGGCGACCGGGGGAACACGGTCAAGGGCCACGAGATGGGATGCCGGGGGACCATAGACGCGATGTCTCTCATTGAATGTGGGAGGGCAGGCAAAGATGGACAGACGTACAAGAAGAGAAAAAAGAAAAAGGCGACGATGGCCGGGGAAAGAAAGGCCAGAATCAATTCGAATCAAAGGGGAAATGCAAAATGCAGCGGAAGTGTGGCCGGCGCCGCATGCCGCGCTTGCGATGCGGATGGGATGCACGTCTGAAGGTGCAAGTCAAACAAGACGTGCAGCGCAGAGGCAGAAGAATGTGATGAATGGATGGATGATCGAATAGCGAGAGACAAACAGAAACAGCCGGAGCCTGCAAGAGAGAGCACATGCAGACCGTAGGCAGGCTGTGAGCCCAATTATTGGCTGAGACGCCGGGGGGTTGAGACTTTTGGGGAAGGCAGTTGGCGGGCAAGACGAGCAGCAGCAGCAGCAGCAGCGACATGAGGCGGGCAGGAGGCGGGAGCTGCAGCATCGTGAGTTTCTGTGTGCCATCTGTAATTATCTGGCCTTCCTGGCTGCCCAGTGCCTGCCTCTGTCGTGGGCTTCGTTATCCGAAGACAGGAAGCGGCAGCGAAGAAAAAAAAAAAAACCCCCAGTAGCGGAAGGAGACGCTCAACCAACCAACAAGACAAAAAGAGAGGCAGCAGTCGCAGTTGCAGTCGAAATGGAAAGGCCCATCTCGCATCCTCCTCCTCCTTCCCAGATGTACTGGACGAGTGAAGTACCGGGTACTTTCAACCTTCCTCTGCGTCTGCTCTTCCTGTCTTTCTCTCTTCTGTGCTTACCAGCGACAGACCCGCCGCCTCAAAGCAGGGGTGTCCCTAGCTAGTGCTAATCGCTCTGCATCTGTCTGTCTGTCTGTCTGTCTGGTCTGTCGTCTCTCGCAAGTTCGAGCTCCATCTTTCCCGCTGTCTTCCATCGTCAACCGCCTTCATGCAGTGCAGCCTCTCACACCCACACTCACTGGCACTGGCAGCGGCACTGGTTTCTCGCCTCTTCTCGCTGCTGCCGCTGGCGAACCGTCCTTGGCGCCTCGACTGAAGGGTGCAGGGTCGACTAGAGCGCGATGCCTGTGAGGGTGCTCAGGGTAGGTGCTGGGGGTATGCCAGTCAGCTAAACCTCGCGCAGGGTCAGGGTTCTGGGATGCCTGTCTGTTGCCCAAATGCTCTTGTGGGTTCTCGTGAGTGGGCAACTCTCAACTGGCCTGTTCCCACTGCCATGGTCATATCCCATCGCCCATGCCCGCCTGGTGCTCTCCTCTCTCTCTGTGGTCTCCCATGTCCAGCCAGCCAGGGTGTCTGGAGCAGGGTCACCCGTCAGGGAAGGCTGGCTGCTGGTCTCTTTCTTCGCTGCAGGGTGTGGATACCGCGCGAAAAAAGGTGTGGGTGCTTGCTTGGTGCTGGACGATGGGATGGGATGGGATGGAAAAAAAGATGGATGTGGGTGTGGGTGGGCGGCGGCCTGGCGCTGCCTCTGTCTGGCTGGCGACGATGTGCACCACCCTGAGGAGCCAGAGAGAGAGAGAGAGGAGTCCACTGCCCGTGGATGGACAAGGTGTGCTTGGATGCGTGGGTTGGGTGCGTGGGTAAAGCGGTAGCAGTACTGGGGAGGTACTGGGCACCCTGCCCACCACCCACCACCCACCACCCACCCCCCGTCCGTCGTCTCCTTCCTGCTCTCCTACCTAGTCTCTCCCCTACTCTGCTAGCCTGCGTCTACTTGCTCCTGGCCTGGCACCTCAGCGCACTGGAAGAGAGAGAGAGGCAGGTTGACGACCATTTGTTATTATTAAACCCGGACCCCGTCCGACCACCCCCCTCGATCTAAGAAAGACCCTTTCCCTCACACTCCTTTCTCTGTATTGTGCAGAGTCGTCGAGAGGAGTTGGAAATAGCTTCCTCGACCCTCGAACCTTTCAACAAACATCCTCCTCCTCGTACGAGCCTCACCTCGCCTCGCAACGTACCGTACCGTATCGTACCTTATCGCCTCGCCTCGTCCGTCCTTCACTGCGACGAACACAATATCCCCGTCGGCCGACTCGATATCTGCGAGAGATAGAGAACCACTGTTCGCGGTGCTGCTTCTCTGTCCGTCACCACCACCACCAACAACAACTCGAGACAAGGTGAGTGTTCTCTCTTTGGATGGTTCTACTTTTGCGTTGCCTACTTCATGCCCAGAAACCAGAGGGAAAACAGAACAAAACCAAGACCACGGTTCACCACAACTGCCCTTTTTTGCCTTTTGTACACAGCATTTTTGCCTCGCACCCGTGACTCCTCCCCTCCCGCCGCCTGCTTATCTCCTCGCCTCGTTTTTACGAGGGACGAGGACAACATCTGCCTTGCTGAGCACATCTGCGCGTTCTCGTCTGCAAATCCGTCTTGTCTCCCAAAAATTTGCCTGTCGTGTCTGCCTGTATTATCTATCGCCTGTCACTATTCACCAGCATTCGGCCGCCCCGTGTTTTCTCACTTCGACACACCTCACGTTCCCCCCAGAGTCGTCCTCGGCCTCTTGTCCTCCCCTTCAGAATTCCTGCGTTGTGAGACAAGACGGGCCCTGCAGCATCTGCAACGGGATACATCACTCGTGGCCCCTCTCACGAGCCAGTCCTGTCATCCCGACTGTACTGCCCGGCGAAGTATCGCAACGGCGCTTCCCTCTCCAGCAGAAAACCCCCCGCCCGACATCCTCAGAGTCACCTCATGGGTTTTCAGCCACGCAGCGACAACATACTAATCCGAGTTGCACTAGACTGCGGTAGAACCGGTCACGACTCAATTTCCCTCGTCCGACTCGCATAGCGGAATCTGGTACAAGAGTTGAGAGATTTCTCCTCCGACCATATTAGGCGCCGAGACTCGCCGTTCCCTCCTTTCCTCAACCCAGATACCCTACACCCAGTTATTGTTTTTGCCCCCGATGCGTCCTTGAAAATGGATTCTGAAGACGGGGAGTTGTTCATAAAGGTATGTCGCCAGATTTTCGTCTTATCGCTCGCTGCTTGGCTGTGCCGCCTCGCTATCTGTTCCGTCTTGCTCACGATATCTTCAGCAACTGGCCAGCTTCGTGCGCACGCACGAAAAGGCTCTCGCCAACGCCTTGCAATTCCGAAGACAGACCGCCCGCCATGGCGCCTCGCAGAGTGTCAGCTCGCTACCCACGCCGCAGTCTCCAGTCGTTCCCGAACGGCCATCGACCTCGGCTTCAACTTCGAGCGGCCTTGCATCCGCCCTATCTCTGGGCTCTCTGAACTTCACTTCGCACAGCGTAAAGTCTGCGAAGCTGGCCTTGACGCCTCACCATCTATTCTACCTACTTTCTCGATTCGAAGAACTCGCCATTCCTGTCGGCCCCATGAAGATTCGTCTCGAGAACCTCCACGATAGCTCTACATCCGCCAACTACGTTTCATTCCTTAGCAATACCCAACGATCCAGAAGCCGCGGCTCCGATGTCGGTTCCATACACTCCGTATCTAGTGTCCGCAGCGTCATGTCTGGCATGTCGGCTCTCTGGCAAAGCTTTGGCATCGGCGCCAGTATATCTGCCGCCAGAACAGAGCGACAAAAGGCTGCCATCCAGGCTGACCTGAAATACCTCTACTCGGCTTTCACCAAGATTCCGTGCCTGCGTCTCGCCCCCGATTGGCGTGCCCGCCTGATTCGCGGCTACGAAGAATTCCCGTTCGACTCTGCCGTACCACTATACGTTTTCAAGAACGTCCAAGCTCTTGAAGTCAACAGCATCGACTTTAGACAGTTCTTTGGCTGGGACAAGATGGCCGAGCAGCTTAGATCTCTCACTCTCAAGCGTGCCGGCGTGGAAGACCCCGCGGACATCCTTATCGACATTGTGCTCGACGACATGGACAAGAGGCGCAGGAGAAGTGCGAAGCAACAATCTTCCCCAACAACGCCTTGGCCCGCCAGTTCGAGTCCTCGCAGGAGTCCGACGCTCCCGCACGCAGAACTCCATAAGGCTACTTCAGCACCTGGTTCGCCGGACCCGCGAAGCTCTATCGGAGACCTCGGCATCGGTTCCTTGAACATGCACGACGACGATATGGCACCTGGCGAAGGTAGAAGGCCTTCTATCGCTCGCACCGAGACCTTTGAGGCCATGTCACCGCCGAAGAGCAGGCCGCGCAGCAACTCGCCCACCCGGCCAATCAGCTCACGCAACCACTCGCACATGAGAGGCGGCCACAAGGTTCGTCGCTCCGGATCTGGTAGCTCGCAGTCGAGCCTGTCGGACTCGTGGCACCACAGCCGTACTGGAAGCTCATCAAATTTGTTGAACATGGGCATTTTGCCTGCGTCCAAGTGGCGCTTCCTCAAGCACCTTAGTCTTGCAGACAACTCCATGACCTCCATCCCGGCTACCAGCTTGGCTCCTCTCGCAAACACCCTCCATTCGCTGGACTTGTCGTCGAACCTGTTTACTCAGATTCCCGATAGTCTGGCCACCCTTACCGCCCTCCGCGCACTTAACCTCTCACACTGCATGATTGATGGGCTCCACTCCCTGACGCGCAATCCCCTCCCCGCCATCTCAGCCCTCAACCTCCGGGCCAACCGACTCCAGTCCATTGCCGGCATCGAGAAGTTGTACCCTCTCGAGCGTTTGGACCTGAGAGATAACCGCCTCTCTGATCCCTCGGAGCTTGCTAGACTTACCGGCATCCCCGACATTCGGGAGATCTGGGTCGAGGGCAACCCCTTCACTCGCACCCACAAGGACTACCGCATCACCATCTTCAACCTGTTCCGGAAGACTCCCGGCTACACTGAGGACATCATCATTGACAACTCCGGCCCTTCCTACTCAGAGAGAAGATACCTGGTCGAGCGTACTCCGGTGCCCGCCGCGGTCCCAGTTGTCAAGCCCGCCCCTGCCGACATTCCCGCCGTCGATGTCAGCAAGCCCGCCATCATCTACGACATTCCCAAGGAGGCGTCCGTTCTCCGTAAGGAGCGACCGGTTCCAAAGGCCGTCACTAGCGAGGTTAACACCAGCTCCACTCGTCGCCGTAAGACCCCTAAAAGGCGCATAGTGGATCTGTCAACATCTGATGGCACCCCAATCTTGCCGCCTGGTGTTGCACAGCTCCCGCCGACCGATGTCAAGGTCCTGGCTGCGGACGCCACTGCTACCGCAGCCGGGTCCGACAGCAACTACCGCATCTCCCAACCCCCCGAGGTTCCACCTCTGCCGTCTGCGGTGCTCTCCGATGGCCGAAAAGCCACCTCACAACCGGAAGTACCACGCATCGACACTAGCGTAGTCCCCGAGCTTCCTCCCATCTATACGACTCGCGAGACTCCGGCCGACTCCCAGGACTGGGACGTCAGTGGCGAGATGTATCGCAGAAAGATCGAGGCGCTACGGGACAAGGTTGGAAACGGCTACCTGAGCGTGCTCAGTGAGGAGGGCTGGGATCCCTCTCGCCCTCCAACATACACTGTCCCCGACTTCAGTCCAGCCTCGACTGTACGGCCTAGCCCTACAACACCCCGTACCGCCACCACCACCCATCACCCCCAGGCCATCCACAGTGGCCGCACTCTTGGTTAAAAAGTCACCTTTCCATGATACCCTTCATGATACCCCACCCCCCTCTTGAGGTTCAATTCTACACTGGGCTGCATTCTCGATTTCTCGTTTGCAGCATCGCATCTGGCATTGCCACGAGCATGGACTTGTCCACCCATTGTCTTATTCGTCATCTTTTTCCGAGCATGTTAGAGCATAGCGTACAAGGCGTTCCGGTTTCGCGGGTTCTTTCGTTCATCCCGCACTTTTCTTCTCCTTCTCACAGATTGCACCGCCCGAGGTGGTAGAAGGCCACAGTAGATCTTGTCGCTTCTCATCTGTCTGGTTTCTCGGCGCGGCTCCCTGAAGGGGGTCTCGGTCTTGGGCTCATAGGGATAGGCGGATGAAATAAAAGCGAGTGGCATTGGCGTGCAGGTTTCCTCTTTCTTTCTTCTCTTCTTCAAGACTTCCATTTTGGCACTTGATTTTTCCGAACCTGGCGTTGGCGGATTACTTATCTCGAGTGGCTTCAGTCCTTTCTCTTTCTTTTTTTGCTGGTCATCATGGGGCACGAAAAAATTCCCGGCATGAAGGTTTTGCATTGCGCGTTGTTGGTATGGCAGATGATGACTTGTCGTGAAGACAAGCTGGCGGGCGGGCGGTCGGCTCCTTAATACATGAAGAAATGCATTGTTCAAACTTTTCGGTCTACAACATGACGTGATATGGTGACTAGATACGTGCCTTCTGTGATGATAATCCACTGCAACTTGGACGTAGAGGATCTATATTGACGATCAGGATGTGCCTGTAGCGGCGTATAAAACAAAAGCCTTGCCACCGGTGAGTAACATCAGAGCAATAGCTTTCTTCTGCTCCCCGGATTTCCCACGGTACATGAGTTATGCGCGTCGGATTTGCGGTGACTCGAAGTTACTCGCTTGCGACCCCCACGCTGGCTGCCATCGCTCTCCGCTGCTCTCCTTGGCTTTCCCGTTTCTATTCGCGTGTATACTGAAGGGAAAGCTGATTCGAAAACGGGTATTAGGCATACGCAGTGCTGTTGTCTGCAAAGTCTAGGTACCAGACACAGATAAGGCGACAACATACACATCATGACTCATTGTTTTCTTTGCAAGGCATAGTCAGGTTTGGCGAGAGTTATCACCGTTATATATGGAGTCTAGAGCTTCTTCTGGTCAATATCGGCAGTGATGGGGAGGGAGCTTGGCGTGAAGGTCTACCCTCACCCTGAGATTGTCGTGGGCTCCAAGGGGTGGTGGTTTCTGTGGAGGTATAAATCAAGGCTTCAGGTTAAAGATTTCGACTTCTCAAATCACTGTGTGTGTGTGTCTGCACTCTTTGGGCTTGATGGGAATCAGGGTAACTTATACTCAATTCAGGTCTCTATTTACAAAATAGACATCGGATTAAGTGATTGCATCCTGTCCCAGAGCCTTTTTTGCCGCCGTCCTTCGTTGTCGTAGTCTTCTGTTGATCTCTTAGTATTCATGGTCCGATGATACATCAGAACTGCGCGAGTGCTTGAGGCCGTCACTTTCACTCTCAGTACAACTTCGTAGCTGCAAGTTGTACACAGGTCGCTATCAAGCTGCCGTCTGCCGGTGAGACCCATGCTACAGCCGTCAACTCATTGGCTTGTCTTGGCCTGATTCCTGAGAGCATACGAGGAAGAACCCCTGTTCGGTACTTGAAGGACTTTGCTGTTGCTATGTTGGGAAGCAACTCTGCGGTCTCGGTGGGCTGAATTTCACGATGTTTGAGTGAAGCAGGCGGGTGATCGTTGAATTCAAATAACTTGGAACTTTTTGGCATTCATCAAAGAGCCTCAAATGAGTTCTGAGCGGCAAACCTGAAAGTAGGCATGTTGTGAATTCTTCACTCGCGCAGTTCAAAGCATGATGGCGGACACAGAGTTGACGCAGAGCTGGAAGAGACAGTTATGTGTACCAGGCATCCGTCATTCTGACCTGTTTCTCTCGTTCCTCATCTTTTGCCTATTCATTTTGATGTTTCTAAGCATGTTCCTTCTGAGCTGAGATGATTCGGAGGGCGAATGGGATGTCAGACTTCTTGGTCTGATCATAAGACATTTGCCTTGCTCAAACAACAGTCGATCTGTTAAAAACATTTCTTTTGTTTCTCAGGGCCTGTCGGTAGAAACAACGATCAGCTCTTTTATAGCACATATGAGTTCTCATGAAGTCGTGTAAGGATCAGCGCACTTTTATATATCGGTGAGTTTCGACCATGTGAATCGCCTTCTAAAACAGTTGACACGCCTGGCAGTGGGTCCTGAAGAATTCATGGGACAAAAATGAAGTATATTGGCCTTGCTTAAGAAGCGGACTGGACGAGGAAACTACGGTCTGGGCATGACTACATGCTCTCCTCTAGAGTATTGCTAACATAATACTTCAGGGACAACAGAATTAGTAGATTAGGACAATAAATTCTGGGTAGAAGGATTTGCGAGCCTCGTGTCTATGCCCTCGAGGATCATCATGTTCTGGTCGGCGGGCTTCGACCTCTTTCAAGGATTCGGCACAATGCCAATTCGATTGTGGTGGCGAGGGAAATACTGACGCATCATTCGTCTTTTCGAACCCCCCATCACAGCAGCAAGTCGTAATTCTGTCGATTCCCCAAGTGCAGTTGAGAAGTCTGTGACTTCCCCCTGTTGGGTTGTGTGAAGTGAATTGCGCCTGCCTAAAGCACGAGGGCGCTCCTGCTTCTCGGAATGGCAAACCTCACCTGTGGCTTTCTGAGGAGGCAGGTGACCGTCCTGTTCAACCGCCCTATCGGACTTGCCTTGGGTCCAACTGGCTCAACGGGTCAATCGACCTGAGGTGTGAGTGGCCACCAGGGATCACAGGTTCGGAGCCCGGTTCTGACTTTTTTTTCGATTTTTGCTTTTTTGCGCCCCTTTTGATTTATTGTGGCAACTCCCTTGTGCATGGACTTGGGCTTGAAGTCGGTCGTCTTTGATGTGCCCGATGTAATTACACAGGTTATTAGGAACCTCACCACTACGAAGCTCATGAGATCAAGCCAGTCCTTCACTGAATGTTTCTACGGCATAGCAGGCCACCACCCGATTATGTACGTTCTAGTCGCTGCGAATGAGCCCAATGGCTACCGCCTGTTCCCCGTGAATTTCACAGCCCTGTGAGCTTTTTTTTGTAGAGAATAAGAACGGAAGAATGGAACTGGTGGAAAGAGAAGACCGAAGATACCTTAGGCGCTCTCACTAATGTTGAATCCTCTCTTAATGTGACGACGACTTGAATGAAACGTGTAAGCTCACCGAAGGGAAGACACTCATTCCATTAGACAGAGCAGGGCTTCTGAATTGGTTGGTTTCTGATGCTATATTTTCGTTACGGCCATGCATTGATATGAGATCTAAGAAGACCTAAGACGTTCCAACTCTGCTTTAGTCTACGTAGCAGGTCTTGAATAACACCACGAGGAGCGCTGTTCGATGCTTGCGGGTGCCTCAACGTTCTTTAGACGTGAGTTTGCATCCACCTTCCTTCGCCCCTGACTTCTTCGTTAGCAGGAACGATCTTCGTATTAGAGTGCTATTCTGCATCAAAGGCTGAAATTACGGCAATATGCTGCCTGTAAACCGCTATTAGAACCATGAAAGCTGCTATGTACCTGATATGTCGCATCTTGTAGTGACCTTCCTCTCACAGGGACAGATTTGTCCCGAGTGAGGTAGGATGTCGTACTTGTGGAAACCCGCTTCAAGGGGAGAGGCCATAATATCTGGAAATTTGCAACTGGTTGACATATAAATATTGTGTTAGCTGGGCTATGATGATCGAAGCAACAGAATGGGCAGCATCGTTTATTCACTGCCTTCGCTTCTCCCGGGTAATTGAAAATTCAACGTGGGATGAGTGCTATATGGATGCATGATGGCAACTTATATGGGCTGATGATTATTGGCACAAAGATCGGAATTCATCATCTATGTCCTTCTCGTATACATTGAGTTTCTAACAGAGGCTTCGGGCTTATCAGGGCTTACTTGACTTTTAGTCACAAGCTATGTCCTACTACCATCACACTGTACTCAACTTTCGTTTTCCGCATCAACTGAGAGATACGTCCGACTCATTGGCGTCCTTATGCAATTACAATGAATCCCGCAGACATCTTAAGGCCATGCAGCTGATCAAAGCGAACGTAGTAGTCATTCAAGTAACTAAGTGATGTGTACTAAGGGAAAGAGAGTGAAAGCATGCCATCACTGGACTAAAATGCTTGAAGTCAATGAAAAGAGATATAATGAAACGCATCCATGCAAGTAGTTTCTCACAGTTCCAGATCGATTCGACACAAATTGTCGGACGCTCGTGATCTACTACTTGGTCACAAACGTTGTCTGCCTGCCCCTGTTCTTCCTCCCTGAGGGCGCCGCTCGTGAGTATACTCATCCTGTTCTTCTTCCTCATCATACTGATCTCGCAGATTGTCGTCTTCCATGTCATCATCATCTTCATGGTAGTCGTCCTGAGCCGGTCGAGTCATGCGGCTTCCCCGTGGGCGCTGCTGCTCTCGGCCTGCTCCGCGCCCTCCGCCCATGTCGTCCTGGCGTCTTCGATGTGCGGGTTGAGTTCTATCAAGTACGTCGGAACGTTGTGGCCTTGAATTTTTCCGAGGTCTCGAAGAGGATAATCCAGGGTCTACTGAAGATTCCCTGTATCTGGCCACCTGTGTGCGTCGCCTCGTTTCTCTATCAGAGTGGTCTTCATCGTATATCTCCCTCGCCCGCCAATGGTCGGCACGCTCTTGGCGACGTCTTGCCTGGTCTTCCTCATCTCCAATCTTTACAATCTTTAAGTATTCTTCAAATTCAGCTGTGGTGCCTGCAACAGCCTCGAAATGCTTGGCTCTAAGGGTGGCCGGGGCATTGTCTTCGCCGTCTTCCTCTATTTCGATTTGTTTGTCGTACAGAGCAAGGCCTGCGGCTATTTGCACCGCGTTTCTGATTTGGCGTCCGTTCCATGGACCTCTGTTCCTGCCTGTTGACTCGGAATACTCCTCATATTGAGTCCTGACGAATTTAATGATGCCTTTGTCCTTGACATCGAGGAACCCATCCCGCGCAACGCCATCTTTATTTAGCATACTCCAATCTGGGCAAACGTCTTAGATTTGCCTCGAGGATCTTGATTGTGTCGGCAAGACTCAAATTGGGGTAGCACAGACTGAGATGCACACGGGACCGAAAGCCTTCATCGAGGGCACCAACCCTGTTGGTCGTGAGGAACAGGATCCCGCTATAATACTCCAACACTCTCAGGAACACTTAAAAACAGATGGTCAGTTACTGTCACTCAGGAGCTGTGGGGTTACGTGTGGACTCACCTCCCACGAGAGCGTTGCGTTCCAGATTTCCAGCGCCGCGTTCCCTCTGTGTGAGGAACACATCAGCTTCGTCAAACAGAAGAATGCAGTTCCACAAGTGGGCATAGCGGAAAATATCCTTCCCAGACCTTTCGACTGCTGCAGGCGAGAACCCGAGATCGCCACATGTGATAGGAAATAACGGCCTCTCGGTCTCAGCGGCAACTGCTTCTGCTGTCGCTGTCTTTCCAACACCAGGAGCGCCATGTAACAGTATTACAAGGCCCTTTCCCTTTCCTCTGATAGGGTCAAGATCGGACGTAGAAGGACCTTGTTTGCCCCTGAAGTGTGCCGCAACAGCTGACCGAATCATTCTCCTGCGTTCGGGCTTCATCTGGATTTGATCCAGAGTAAGATTGCCTTGGTTGGTATTGAACTCGATGCTTCTGACGTCAATGCGTGTGAACTTGCGCTCTCGTAAAATGTAGGCGAATACCCGTCGGGGTAGGAGGGCGATATCTTCATCTGACCAACTCCATTCCTTCCAATTTGTCTTTTTGCCCAAGAAGGAATCACGATCGAACCATGCCTTCGCTTCAGACTCGTACAGTTCTTGCTCTTCAATGACGATTGAAGTATTCACAGGGTACGATAGGCGCGGCTGTGGAAACGTTCTGGCGTCTTCGTCCCAGATCTTCAGGGGGTACTCAGCGTAAGGTTCCGAATCCCAAGACGAGCCAACCCAAGGCTGAGGCGATCCTGAGTAGGTTTCCCATCCGGGATAGCTCTGAAGTGTTTCCTTGAAATCAACGACAATTTCGCTCTCGATATGCTCGGGAAAGTGCAATTCTCGACCTCCGTCATCTAGCAAAGGCTCCGCAAACAGACCTGTGATGAAGGTCCAGCCCGAATAGTAGTGATGCTTTGCGCTACTCCTGATGCACTTCAGAAAAAGCTTGCCGCAAGCCTTTTGCTCCTCAATAATGTCCTTCACGTTCTCGTGTAGAGACAGAGGATAGCATTCTAAAGAGGTGATGTCCATTTCCCCCGTGAAACGTTCAAATTTGACGACCGCCCAGATTGGCACCAAATTCTCTCCGTCGTAATCGAAGGAGTACAGGGACCATCGAGTGAACTGGCTCGGGTTCATTGTCGAGCCGTATCTGTAAACCGTAGGGACAGTAGCAGGACAACAAGACACCATTCTCCACACCTTCTGGACCGCAGATCGGTGTAGGAGCCTCTTCGTCCTCGCTCTATGAGTTAAGAATGCCAACGACCCGGGTTGGAAGAGGTAAGGGATATCCTCAAAGCAAACACGTCGGCGTTTCTGAAGCTCTGAACCTCGAAATCTCTCCCGGATGGGAAGCACGACTTGTTCTACAAAATTAACAAAACACCGCATATGTTCCAAGTCTCGGTCAACTGCAGCTGGCGATGTCGTATGTTCTTCGTTGCCTTTCCCCTCGGATAAGTCAGGCAAGGTGTTAATCGGATCAGCTGTACCAAGTGATTCCGAACTCAAGGGGGCGTTGTCGGTGTGATCAACCTCTTGTTGCTCGCTCTTTGCTGCGACATGTGATGCCTCCGGTGTTTGTTTTTCCATCGCTCTTTCCATCTCAGACAACTTGGATTTCATTCCAGTAAGGGACTCCTCAAGCACTCGAAATGGGCGGTGGAATTCGACGACTTTTTCTCTGGCAATGCCATCGTAACCAGCCACAGATGCTAGAGCACGAAGAACAACCTCGGACCGGAGCCTAATGCGCATAATCCTTCCATCCGGAGCCGTCTCTGAGCCCGATGATAGCTGCAATCGCGAGGCATATGCGTACTTGTGGCCATCTAGTCGTTGATCTGGAGCTCTTACTTCGACGTCATAGAAATCGGGGTGTGGCACTGGTGGGAAGTAGGGAGGGGGAGGAGGAGGCGGCGGCGGTCCGTTAGACGACGCAAATTGCTGGCGACTTTCTTTGATAAGGGCGGTGGCGGTCGCTGTGGCGGGGGCATCCGTGGTAGATGCGCCTGCTCTGGCAGTGGTTGCCGACGTGACGATCGATGTCTAGGACGTTGCGGGCGCTTCGGTGGGGGGCAGTCTCTCATGTCGTCCTCCGCCATCATCTCAGAAAACCAGTCCGGCTTTGCGACGAAGACTTCAATTCCAGAGTCACCCTCATCTTTTCGCATCCTATTCTGGAATCCATTATAGTTGTAGTATCGTACCCCCGACGTCAAAGGTCTCTCCAATAGTGACGAGTCTTCAATGGGTGGCAGCTCCTCTTCGGATAACTCGCTGTCTGAATAATAGACATAGGGCGATCTTCTTCTTCTTGGTCGAGAGTAGTCCTTCTTTCTGGGGCTCGAATCTTCTGGCAAACTGATAGGGTCGGAAATATCATGGTCTGATTTCTCAGTGGTAGCAATCTTTTCAGCCATTTTGATGCTTGCGTTCTGTCCAAACCGACTTGTACACTTGATTAAAACTCGGTTGGCATGATTTCTGAAGAGGCTGTGATACAGAATTATACAATGAAGAATTTAGATCACGTCTCGCTTTTGTACTCTTTTCGTGTTCGCTTGAGCCTTAGTAGAGTTCTCAGAGCCTTGCCTGCGTTCCATTGCAGGATGACGTTTTGGCTGCCGCGTTGCTCAGCTTCGCAGCAGGCTGAGGACTTGGCGATGAGTCTTTGGACTGTGCTGACCTCGCTAGACATCAAGATGGTGGTCAGAACTTATGCAAGGTAAGTATTTTTGGAATTTCGTTCCGTCGCATTTTCGCCATTGGCTCATCGACTTCGTAGGATCAGCTGGTGAGCCAGCCTGCCTATGCGCTCATGCGCATTTATCTGGGTTGGCTCACCGAGGGTTTAGTGATACAAAACGTGACACGAATTGCCCCTCAAAGAACTTTAATAAGACTGGGACCAGCCTGCTATTCAACATGTGTGTAGAATACGTGTTTATCATCAGTTCTAGGTAAAGAGAAAGCGGCAGAAGATTTCTTCATTTACGACGTCCATCGTCACAATGGAGGAGGATAGTAGCTATCGCCGCCTTTTGCACTTGCACAGACCATTTTATCTCTCAAAAGATAGGGGACGACAAACCGATCCCCAAACATGTGACAAGATCGTCCAGAAAACGGTTTTCAGCACTCGCAATGCGTACCCAGGGCAACTCCAATACGACAACGAGGAAGATAGGTTCAAGGCGAAATCCAGGATTGCAGCGAAGTATGTCCCTTCAGTCTAGCTTCTTCTTAGTTAACTGAACTAAACTAAATTTCATAGGGATCTAGAGAAAATCATCGAAGCTCATGACAGAGAACCAAATACAATCTTAGAGGTTAGAGATAGCTCCTGGGACCTCGTCTTCGAACAAATGGCTGCAGCGAAGGCTCGTAACGAAGAGAAGTCCGGTCTCAGATCCAAGATTTCAACTGGGAATGATGTGTTGTCAGCCTATATCAGCCTTCTACCGGACGATTACGGTATTGGAATCTTGAAAGGGGGCCTTGCTCTCATATTCGATGTACGGCTATTATACCTGAACATCGCACTTGCTTTATGTATGTGACTGCAAGAAGAGGCTGACTAGTCAAAATAGGCTACTAAGGCGCACGATGAAAATAGGAATAGAATCGTCGAAACTTTCGAGACGATTCCTGACAGCATCCTGACAATTAACATGGCCTTCGACCTTCTCGACGCCGACCCGGCTGACATGAAAGTCCAGGCGGAAGCAATCAGCATGCTCCTAGAAGATCTCCCCGTTCTCATCAAAATCCTTCTAGGAAAAGAGAAATGTAAGATATGTTGCTCATGTACATGACTCCATTCTCACTAAATTTTGTTCATGATGTAGGGTATTGCAAAGTTGTCAAGCTTCTGTTACTCAGCATCCCAGAGACCATGACAATCGACGACAGCTTGTCACGTTGGAAACGAAAAGTGGTACAGCTACAAGAGCATGTACAGCGAATGAAGTGGAAAATGTGCTCCAAATTCTCGGTCGAACTGAAGGACATCGGCGCTGAATTGAAACGTTCAGACGTAGGGATCCGGGCACTTCTTGCAGAGAGCAAATCAATGCAGGTTGCTCTGTTCGATAATGTCAAGAAAGATTATGCGTCCATCCTGTACGAGATAAATCGGGCCAATGATATTGCGGCGGACGTGACTTCACTGATGAAGATACAGTTAGAAGGCATGGAGAGGGACAAGGAGCAATGAGACAAGGAACGAGAGAGCTTTTGTCGAGAAAGAGAACACTTTCAAGCCAGGGAGTTGAGGCTGGAAGAAAGTGAGCTAGACCGTAGACCTCATCTTCATCCCGCAGCGCTGACTAGTAACAGAGAACCAGAACCTCAGCCTGGAGGTCGAGACACTACGTCGAAAGGTATCCCAGCATAGTATCACAGAACAGCCTAGAGTCAGCCTCATCGAATCTGTACAGCTTGTAGAAATTCTTGGAATTTCTCTGGGCAACTTAGCGGACGATCTGGCAACTGTTGTGGGCCATTCGGAGCGTTTTGATTCGGATGATAGGGCAAAAGCTCAGTGGTCACTACAAACTGATGAGTTTCGCAGTTGGCTCCGAGAGAACCACTCTTCATTGCTTCTTGTGGACGGAGAGTTGCAGGACTCCATGATATCCCCGCTATCAGGGATATGTGGTGGTATAGTAGGCGCCCTCATGCAGAACCGGAGCTCGGCCGTGGCCTTCTTCTTCGCAGGGTTGCATGTCGATATGCAGCAGCCAGACATTGACAGCGGGCCAGTGCCGATGATGAGGAGCCTCATCGCTCAGCTCCTTATGAGTCCCAATCTGCCCTCACGCGACTTGAGTTTCATGTCCAAGGACATGATCAAGGGATGCAGAGATGGGGACTTTCCCGTTCTCTGTGAAGTGTTCGTCAAGATTATCAAGCAGGTTCCAACTCAGACGACTGTGTACTGCATCATCGACGGTGTTTCGTGGTATGAGCAGGGACGCTGGCTGGATGATCTCGATCAATTTGCCACGGCGTTGGAGTACATAACAAAGAGGAACAATGCTGGCCGTTCTGGGTCGCTGAAAGTTTTGCTGACCAGCCCGACCCAAAGCACCGAGATTGGTCATCTTGCGAGAAAGCATAAAAATCTCTGGTGGTATGTATCGTTGGCAGCTGGCCACATTCACCCTGACTTGGGCTTTATGGATTCGAACTCACTCCCTATGCAGTAACTCTAGATATTGTCATCTCCTGTAATATGATATCAATTTTTCTCCCGAAAGAAAGCAAGTCTGGTATCAGTAATCGAGCAATTCATCAAGACCTAATAGCATCGTCCTGAAATTCCCAGTCTTCCCATGTAGGTTCGTCAGCTCCATTAGGCCTCGAGGTCCGAACGTGTCCTACGCTGATCCCTTCCACGCTGACAGCCTCTCTGGGCCACCTCACCTCAGCGTCAAATCCCTCGCTGTATGCAGAGTGCATCATGTCCTCCGCGAACAAACCCGGGTGAAGCTTCTTCACACTCTTCAGAGCTCTCTTACTAACCTCATCCACCGAATCGTGGTGCTTCAGGTCAAAGAACGCAGGATCATGCGACTTGCGCAGCTTAGCCTGCACCTCTGGCGAGTACGCCCCAAGCGAAAGCAGAAAGACATCATACTGACACAGGCTCGTCCTGCAAACCCACGACCTGCCCTCCGTGGCCCTTCGATACAGCCCGGCCATGGCAGCAACGGCACCCAGCGCGCCCGTGCCGTAGTCAGACATTGGGAAAGGCGGGACGACGGGCGCATCAAGACCCATGAAATGGCCCTGCTCCCACGCCACGCCCGTGACACAGTCCGCGATCTGTTGCCATCCAGGACGGCCGGCCCATTCTGCCCTACCCTCTCCGAGATCCGTCCCTCCGAAGCAGTCCTCCGCCACGTAGACGAACCCCTTGCCGCGTTTTATGGCGATGGCAGCGAGTTGATCTGGACCGTAGCCTAGACGGTCAATGACACCCGGGCGATAACCATCGATAATGACGTCTGCGCTCGCAAGCAAAGCATCGAACGTCTCACGGTCTTTGGGATCCTTAAGATGCAGTGAGGTGGTATGCTTCCCGGTGTTGACGTCCACCTGGAAAAAGGGAACGTCGGGAAGTTGCGGGG